AACGGCAGGCAAGATAAGAGATACAGAGTGCAGGAAAGAGAGGAGCAAATACTAAACACATCAACAAATTCAGACAGCAGAAACACTGGTAAAATTCTGCTTTACAACTGGCTGCATTACAAACCAGAATACTAAAACTTTCGCTGATTGGAAATCAAACCCAGAAACCACCAGGTCACCAGCGAGTGCCGCAAGTGCTTAAAGCAGCCTCCCCCGGAAAAAACACACCAATGAGCTTATTTAAAGGACATGTTTAAACTAACTGACAGAACGTGGATGCGCTCTGTGTTAATGCAGATAATTATTCCAATCCAGTGGTTTCTTCCCTTACAGGCAGGCAGTAACAATCAACTTGCAGAGTCTAGCAACTTGAGAAAAGTTATCTATCACAACTCACAGCCTTAATATGTTTGTCAAAGTCCTCTTATTGTTTTGAACTAGTCGCTCATTTCACCACTGTTATATGGGGACAGGTACATATGTACAGTGAAGCTATGTTTTTTCTCCAAAACACTGGGAACCACCTGCAATCAACTCTGAAATATTATGCATCAGTCCAATGTACATCGACAATTAGTAGTATTCAGCAATTTGCTGATGCATTATCCTTATCTGTTTAGTTTTATTTAAACTGGTGCCAGAGCTTATCCCTGCATGCACAAGAGTTATTTAGCAGGAAAACTACATAATGAGATCCTGATTTATCATAATCAGTGTCAATATACAGTATGTACGTTCACATAAAGTGTGTTTTTTTTCTTACACCGCTCCTTTACTACTGGACAGTATTGCACTGATGTCTTGTCCTGACTCTATATATACACACTATATTGCCAATTAGTATTCCTTAAAGGATGTTCTTCATACCTTTGGCCCATCTTGCAGGATGTTCAGCCGATGGAGGACATGCTGGGAGAAAGCCCTAAACATCCCCTCACTGGAACAGTCTGATATCTGCCATCAACACATCAGAGAAGTGTCCATTTCACACACATACATAGTTTATTTTTCATCCCTTAGCTTCAAAATATTGCATTGAAATAATAATTGTTATACACTCTACATCTTTTTGTAATGACATGTATCCGTTGTCTTGTCTCCCGAGTCTAGACTTGTTTTGTTAATGCGTTACTTTGTTTCAATAAAAAAAATAAAATAAAATAAAATAAAAAAGTTCAGCAACAAGCTATTCAATTAATTTATTTGTCCATCTCCCATTAAAGGTGTGGGCATGGATTAACTAGAGAGGGGTTTTTGTATTATAGAGGTGAAAAGGATCTATTTCTCTGTTGTGTATAGTCATGCAAGACTAACAATGTATCTTAGAATATTTAGGCTCTGGTTCCAAATGAATTGCCCACCCTATTATACTCTTGTATGTAACACCCTGGAAATCTGACAACTGTAAACATTCTTGCTAATCTCCCTGGAATGAATATCACATGAGGCTGTGAGGAGAATCTCTCATATACATTGCTGCATGGCAGATGTAAATGTGAGAACATGAATATAAACATGACAGGTGCACTGCAAAGGCAATCAAAGGAGTTTGAGGATGACCTATCAATAATTCACACTTCAAGGTTGGAACCACGGGACAACATATATTTACATAGTATCGTATTTACAGTAATCCCCTTAGAATTATCATTTAAATAGCATAAGCACTTGCTGAGCTTTTGAATTCATGGCATAAATATTTAACCTGAAATGCAGGTTTATGACTAAACCAGATATCATTTTGTGTGTGTGTGTGTGTGTGTGTGTGTGTGTGTTTTGGTGGGGGGGTGCTAAAAATATTATGTCACAAAATTAGAGATGAAAATCTATAAATGAAAACATAAAAAAGGCAGCATTCCAAGTGTGGGACGCTGCAATTTTGTATGTAAAGTACACTGGTACACACACATAGATATACATGAGGGGTAACTTACAAGAGGCGTGTTGTAAAATAAGCCATATCTCATTCTCGGGAGGAGTGAGAAGAAGGCATCTTTGAAACACACCTGTGGACAAGTGTGAATAGATTAGCAAAATGAGAATATAGCATGGCTCAGAAATCAGTGGTGCTTCATTGATGTCTTCAAATAATTTCAAAAATTTTAGAATGATGAGCTGGGTGTCAAACAATTAAGGAATATACAGTAAATATGCAAACAGCTCATTTCTGTGTTTTGAAAAATCTCTCCTCACACATCACTCAAAGTACCGAGGCAAGACACTGCTACATAGATGGAATTTGAGTGCCTGTTGGAGGCTGTCGTTTCAAGGCCGTAGTTTTCTTTATGGATATGGTCACTTCCAGTTGTACTGAGTTTTCATGACTTCTAACTTTTACATTGCCATATCATCTTTATTGTTGCACACACAACAAACAATATTCCCTGTGTGCCAAAGAATATGTCCATGAAAAACCCATCCCAGGTTGAGTTAACTGTCATAGGCTTCTTCTCATGTCTCTTATATGAACATTCCTCAGTCCTTGTTCCTTGATAGACAGGAATGACAACTGGATCAGGTGAGGAGTGAGGATGCTCCAAGACAGGAGCGAGGACACACGAAAGCATCCTTGATAGAAGTCTTTCATGGACCGACATGCCCCTTTATCAGACACTTCAGATGAAGGACTGAAGGAAAGGATGTCTCATGTCTCTTAAAACATGTTTCCTTGATTCCTCTCATTTTTAGTAGCATTATTTCTGTGGGCGGGACTAAGACAAAAATAAAAGATATGAGGGAAATGTGGACCCATATAAGAGACTTGTGAAGCAACCCCCGACTTCCACTAAAAACAACAATTTAGTTGGTATTTATTAGCAACAGTACTTAGGTAATAAGCTCAACACATTTACAAAGAAGCGCATAAGGACTTTATACCTACTCTCTCTGAGTCATATGTCTTTAAGTAGATGATGTCATACTCTGAGAAGGCCCTCCATGTTTCACTGAAAAGATCCCCATAACCATAAAAACTCTGGGAAACAACATAAAAAAGAAGGAAACAAATGTTGATTAAATTACTGTGACAGTTGAAACAAAAATCTAAGCAATAAAGATTCAAATCAACCACAGCCTTCAGCACTGCTGAACTGACTCATCTGTTTTCAAACTCAGTTGGTCATATTTTCCTAAGGTTTAGGTTTCATACAAAAATCTGTTATCGCACTGTTATCTAACAGTCTGTCCTTGTCTGGACGGCAGTGTGCTGTTTGTGATGAAAGATCACTGCTTCCCTTCTCCCTGTCAGGTTTCTGTCCCTCGCTTTTCTCTTTCTGCTTTCCTCTTTACCTCTGTGCACAGTGGGGGAACAATGGGCCGGATAAGGCTGTGCATAAATCAGCCTGTTTTTCAACTGGTGTTTCCCCTTGATGTCTTTATCAGTCATCTCATGCCACTGATTTATTAAGCAAAAACTGAGTGTAGTACATCACACACAAACTACAGTTTGGTTTTCCCAACTGGTTGTAGTTTAAAAAAAAATCCAACTGCAGTTTTCAAATACTTTTCATTTCTGTTGGACAAAAACCTCTTTACATCATTTGATTCTTGAGGTTTCCTGTCACTCTCAACAGCAACATCAGAGGGGGGTATTTTATATAGACAGAAAGCCAGAATATACCGCTTCATCTGCCAAAATAATCTCAAGTGAATTATGTAGTGTGCTGCGCATCACGATGTTGTGACCCAAGAGCAGATTTGAAACTCCTATCATCTGAGCCCAGCCTAAGGATTTATTTCATAAATCTGAATTTATTTCTTATGCAGCTGGATGAAGCAGCCGTCAATTCACTGGAGGGAAGGCACATGAAAAATCCTGTCTTATGTTCCATTCTGACAAATAAATAAAGCATCTTAAACATTTATCTTTACCTGTAAGGATGGCAGAGTACAGCAACATATTGCTGCCACCATGAAGAAAATTTACTCTGTATTCCATTAAAGAGAGAAAGTTTTAAAGAGAAAAGTATCTTAAAACGACAAAGTATCTCAGGGGCAGGGGATGATTTCCAGAAAATGTTGTTTAAGCTATTTAAAAGTTAACCAAAATAAATCAACATAAACATCTATAATCAATAATTACCTGTATGAATCACAAATGAAGACTTACTAAGAAAAAGGAATTTAAACTTGCTTGGTTTGCAACCCCAAATCAGAAAAAAAAAATCAACTAAATTAATTAATTAAAATGAAATCAGTTAATGCCAAATCTCATTACTGTGAATGACTCAGATGGGAAAGGTGATATTTACAGTTCACAGCAGAACAAGGAATACAAATATAATTCATTTAATGGGGGGTGTTGATGAAACAAGAGGCTGCTGAAGTGAGAAGGTGCTGGGAATCCATGATCTGACACAAAATCCACACGTAGGTTCACAACATATTGCATGAATGCAGCCATGACAAATATAAAACACTCTGCACACATCCCGATCAATCATTACAGTATTATTAATAGAAGGTCAGGTCAGTGTGTGCGCTGCTGTCACTAACCTGTGGACTCACATTAGGGAGTGGAAACAATATGATTCACTTTAGGGGTGTATGATATCATTACAGATGCATCTTTAGCCCATATATGTGAAGGTATTTCAGCTGTGATTAAAGTAGATTCAAGTATTATATAAAATCTTCCACTCCACCAAGTTTTTTTTCCAAGCATTTTTTTGCTATAACAAGATAAAGTATCTTGTTTTAATGGGAAAACTTTCTCAATATACCTTCTGCACAGTAATTTCTTTTCCTCATAGTGGGAGCAATATGTTGCCATAACAAATTAATTGTTGAATTTATGAAGTACTGTGATTTCCAGTGGTGACAGCAACCATGTTCCGCTGAATCTGAACAGTTACATTTCACTAACTGTACACTATGCGCTGGTTAATCTTAAAGGTAGGTTTGGCGATTCCTTCCAGAAGCATTTTTTGTTACATATCTTGAATTGCTCTTTTCATCCCGATGGCAATGAATACATTAAATGCATTGACAACATAAAGAAAAAAAATTTGTCATCTGTGGCAGCAACAGGGCTGAAAAAGCCTGACCAATAATTTTACTTGGCATGAGCAAAACCATTGAATGACCCACCTGTCTGTCAACCTACTTCCTATGCTATGCATGAGCCAAGAGTTCCCCACAAGGTGTTGCTGTTGCAGGCAGATGTGTTACCCCTCTGTTTTACAGCTAAAGCTAGCAAGCTATGGCAGAGAAGGTACCTCCAGCAGCTTTTGTTCGCAAACAGAGACCGTTGTTACAAGGCAGGCCTTCCCCTTTAAAACATATAGCCTTATAGGTAATGTTGTTGTTGTTGCCATAAATTGCTACCTGCATGCAGTGTGCACAGTACGAGAGCAAGAAGGCTGCCACACGGAACAGACTCATTTTACATGCAGCCACAGGTGGAGAAGATACAAAGAGTAGTCAGCTCTAAGTGTGTAGATAGGATTATAATGCAGTTAACTGGGCATCAAAAGTCGCATGCAGTGTTCATGTTACCAAGATGGAATAAAGCCTGTGATTTTGATGGAGTTAGCTGGCCTCCATCATCACTTCTCCCTGGTGGAAAAGCCTGGACTTCTAAGGCTAGATACTGGCTACAAGCCAGGGCTAAAGCAGTTTAGCCAGAGGTCCCCAACTGTGGTTCGGGGTTGCAGATCTGGGCAGGTAGCACTGTATTTGAGAAAACTACAACTAAAAAGAAGTTGGATACTGCAAGAAATAAAACCAGAATTAACAGTGGTTTTGGCTTTTGAATGATGGTGACAACTAAAAGGACAAAAGGAGCTGAAAAGTGACGCCATGGTGGCTGTATTTCTGCTGGATAGGTAATTACTGCTTTTGTTTTTGTTTTTGAGGGGCATTTGTTATTTTGCTGAAATCTGTAAGTAGCAGTCAGGCAGTGCACATTGTGCTTTGAAGGAGTGGCTTTGGAAAGAAGAACAAAAGGGTGGGATGTCTTCTGTTGGCTACTTTCAAAACCAAGCTTCTTCTTGCTTGTTTATCCTGGATCGCCAACCCTACCTTTAAATAAATACACAGAATTAAGAACCATCTAGATCATGTGACCCAGGGACCACCATTCTGGCTAAGACATAACCCTGTTGTGGGGTAGATAGACTGGAGGGGCACTATTTTAATCCTGAAAGTCACCTGGGGCTTTTCTAAATTCTATATATTTACATGGATTTGATTATTCACAAACAATGAGTAATAAAATAAAGATTCCTACAGTGAAGCTACATGGTTAGGAACCACCTGCAATGCTTTCATGGACCACCAGTGGGCCACAGACCACTGGTTGAAAACCCATGATCTAGATCACACTCTCTCCTCTACTGAAACTGCAGCAGGAGGCATCAGATACCCACCGTGTCCCACATGATGATGTTGATATCTGAGCTGAAGGAGTTGTTAATGTGCTGCGAGATGTAGAGGTTGACAAAATCACAGAAATGGTGGTACATGTTTACTCCTGTTAGAAAAAAATACACTTTAATTTTTGTCACTGTTTCACAACTGAAAATGAAAAATTGGTTAACTGTGAGCATCCATCATTTTTAGGTCTGATAAGTTGGAGAATAATAATAACCTGGAGCTATAGGCTCTCAGCATATTACTCCAACATTTCAACAGGAATTTTATAGAGTGAGAGTTTTGATGGAATCATTGCCGTTACATATTAGAAATGTAAACTGACTAAACATCAGCCAGTGTCCAGCCTCAAACAGGTTGAATGCACACACACGTACTATACAAATGAGTATGTGTACTATTTTTATTAAGGTATAATAGGAGTAAATGTTTTAATTCCTTGTTTAAAGTACAGGGCTTTAACTTGAGTCACATAAGTGTTTGTTACTTACCAGCGTCCAGTTTCATGAACACAGTGGGTTTTTCAATGATGATGTCACAGTGTCCATCCTCTATGGGATGAAAGTTGAGTTCTGTGTAAGTCTGAAGCTCAGCATACCTACAAAAACAGCAGGCCACATCTCCTGCATTAACATAGTACGGGCACACATCATGAAATAACAAGCATTGCAACCCAAAAACAGTTATAATATAATGATTTGCCACAGAGATTTGATTTCTTTTAAAGATCCTATGTGTAGGATTGGGACATTTCTGACAGTTGTAGCATTTAAAAAGAAGCTCTAGCAGTGACACTGATGTGGATGAGCTGAAAGCAACACAAGGATGGCATGATTTTCCCTGGGACTGATTTTTTTTTTCTTTCAAACAAGAACATATGCCATCAAAATTATGTGAAACACATTAAAATTCTATAAAAACACTACACCAAGGGGCTGTATCTTTAAGCAAAAAATATATTTTAATATCTCTGTGGTTATCTAGGATTACAACAATATAATTTGCTTTATTAATGAAAGATTTACAATCCAGATGGCCTCATATTCATAGATAATGTGATCATATTTTGGGTGTGACTGTTGGAAATGATACAACATTTAATGTCTTGATATTAAATGAACTATATAGTTAGAAATGTTCTCAACATGTTAACACTTATTGTAATGCATCCTCTGAGGGCAGGAGTGCTGGTGCCAGTTCCTTCTCATAAAATACTGTACAGCTCAAGGTGGAAGTTGTATAATTAACTTATCAAACTAAATCATTAAAAAACAAGTGTCCTAACAGGCACAACAGTCACTATACAAAGAATTTACAGACTTGCAATGTCTGATCGCAAAATGATAGTCTACTATAGCCACGGTAGCACCCCTCTCTCCCCAGATGAAAAATAAGAGTTGACAGGTTCTAGTCGAAAGTAAACCAAGAGTCTTCTAATCTGTAGTCAGATGCCTTATCATTTGCAAAACTCGCTCAATTTTTTAGCTTCTTGCTTTAGTTTTGTCATTATTTGGAGAGGGCTAGGTTATCAGGCCTGATAATGACTGATTATGTGATGGTATCTTAGGTGAGACAGATGGTACATCATTTCACGCAGAGCTGGGTCATATAGAATCATCTGTGAACAAACGGTACTCATGGTACCTGGCCCTTTACTTGTTTCACTGCTAGAAACAGGTCTGACAGAAGACTGAATTATTTACAGTGGTTAGCCAAATCCAGAGGTTTAGGAAAGATCCAACTGATCAACTCATCTGTGTAAGGCTGTTCACACAAGGCTAACGTGGGTCTGAACCCAGCTAATAGAATATGGACATTGAAATGTTTCAAATGCAACAACTTTGACTTAACAACTAAGACAATAAAAAAAAAATACCATCAGTAGTATAGCCATTAGTAAGACAATAAAAAGAAAATACCATCAGTAGTATAGCCATTAGTTATAAATAGCAAACAGAACATGTCTAATTATCAGAATTACAAATGATGAGTTGAATTACTAGGTACAGATTTTGAATATCATTATACATAAACTGTCAAATTTGCCCACTCTGTCCTAGTCTACTGTGTCACTGCAGTATGATCCTCTCTCTGTCTGTCTGCCTCTTTCCACAAATGATGGAAACAAATAAAATAAAAATAAAGACAAGCCAGCCAGGACTCAAACACAGAACCATTTAATCCGTAGTCAAATGCATTACCCATTGCACCACTGATAAAACCCCACCTGTGAACAAAGGCAAACACAAACTCCACCCCTACATTCCTGCCTGGTCCTGAGGCCCCCCTTCCCCTGCCTTTGGCCACTGCTTTAAGAAGGAGCACTGTGTTTTTCACAACTTTCAAAAATATGATCACAGCAAAAAGAGTGACTTGAGATACTATGTAAAAGTAGAACAAGTAAATCAACATAACTCAATTGTTTGAAAGAGATCACATATATATGCTGTGGTCTGTGAGTCCCATTTAATTTCTAATACTATCAGTGAGGTGAGGAGTGACTTCATCAGTTCTGCCATTTTAAAGCAAAGTCACGGCTCCTACTGTTTGTTAAACATTTGAAAAGACAATGTGTTAACTTCTTTTATTTGTTCTGTGAACAAGTCTTTCTGACAAGGCAGGGAAGAAACCACTCCCCTTGCTAACAGCCTTTTGTTGTTATGGATCACTCTACATGTCTGTGTCTGTTAGCAGTTGTCTACAGAGCTTTGCATCTCCCAATATTTACCTAAAATGTTCTCTCTATAATGGAAAAGCAGCTGGTCTCAAAGTAAACATGACACATACTGTACCTGCCAATTCTCCTGGCAGGTAGAGAAGCCACTAGGCCGTGCAGGACATTAATACCAACAGATGCATGTTCAGCAAAATTCTGGCAACATAGTTCACAGTGTGACAGAAGAGCACAGCCTAGTGATGGTTTGTATCACTACACCCATAAAGACTGGTTGTCACATACCATACAATCCAGAAATCAAATTCTGTAGCAACACACACGAGCAGCTAGCAGGTGGTCTAGTGGTTAGGATTTGGTGCTCTCACCCCTGTGGCCTGAGTCTGATTCCCAGTCAGAGAATTTTTAGCTTCTGGGTTGATTCAGCAACTAAAAAGACATTTGAAGTGTGTGCTATGCTCATTTCTATTCACAGCTTAAGGAACACACAGGAGTAGCTGTGCAGATCATTCTGTCATCAGTGCCTCCACATTTTCAAATCCACCTCATTAGGATGCACCATGCATACAGTATGTAACTCATGGATGTATGCCATAAACTACAAAAACTGTGCACAAAATCCTAACCTTGGTCTACTGGTTAGAGATCTAAGCGTTTTCTGAAAAGGCAATTCATGCCTTTATTAGCTCTAGACTAGATTATTGTAAAGCACTGTATACTGGCATTTCTCCTCCTCTCCTCTCTCCCATAGTGTGTCCTCTCTCTCTCCCTGTACCTTTCTGCAGGTTGCCCTGGCACTGGAGCTCTACGTTTCTAATGAGCAGTCACTGGCCACATCAACCTGACCAGTGTTTGATTGTTTGTTGTGTCTTGTTGCTTTTCTTCTTTTGCCTCTCCTCTATCCACTCACCCCAACCGGTCAAGGCAGAAGGCCGCCCACCAAGAGCTGGGGTCTGTCGGAGGTTTCTTCCGTTAAAGGGAGTTTTTCCTCCCCACTGTCGCCAAGTGCTTGCTCAAGGGGGATTTGTTGGGTTTTCTCTATGTAATAATAGTGATAACAGTAAGGTCTAGACCTTACTTTGTAAAGTGTCCTGAAATGACTTTTGTTGGGATTTGGCGCTATACAAATAAAATTGATTTGATTTGATTTCTCAAGCCTTGTTGTCCAGACTCCAGTTGGCCCAAAATGCAGCAGCTCGTCTTTTAACTAATACACGGCATCAGGAGCATATCACTCCAGTTCTTGCCTCACTACATTGGCTTCCTGTTCGTTTTAGGATTGATTTTAAATTGTTGATGTTCGTCTCTAAGGCTGTACATGATCTGGCACCTTCATATATTTCTGAGCTTGTGCCTTTTTATACTCCAGAAAGGACACTTAGGTCTTCGAACCAGTTGTGCCTGGAAGTACCGAAGTCCAGACGGAAACACTGGGGAGACCGAGCTTTTTCAGTTCGGGCTCCTACAGTGTGAAATGGTCTGCCACGGGAGATTAGATCTGCTCCGAACCTGACTGTTTTTAGATCACTTCTCAAAACGCATTTGTATTCGTTTTGACTATGCATTTTTGTTATTTTATTGTGTAGATGTGTTTTATGTATTTTTATTATTTTTTTATGTTTTACTGGACAGCACCTTGTAACACAGGTTTAGAAAGGTGCTATATAAATACATTTTGCTTGCTTGCTTGCTAAGCTCCCACTGCCAAGACCTGGTTTCAGTCCCCAATCAGGGAATACACTCTTGGCCTCTTTTAGCAACCATAAACACAAGTTTTCTCCAGTTCCCAAGAGTTCATACCAAAGTCACTGTCTAAAGCACTGAGAGTGAATGTGTGTGTCCTGCCTCACCAAGATTGCAAGGGGCTCTTGTGTTCTCCCTCAGCAGCAAGCGCTTGCTTGTTCAGTCTACAGCGACCACCAATCTCACCCCTCTGAATGAAGTCCTCCTTGTATCTGCAGCATAAGCATGGATGAGTTTCAAGGCACTCTCACCACCGTCAGAGTAATGTTTTTTTAATAGATATAGCACTTTCAGCTGTCACCTCTCATGACTTCTGCGCGGCTTCCGCAAGTCCAGGTAGAGGTTAGTTGCCTTACAGAATCTAGTGTGGCTACTGCATCTTAATGATGAATCCCCCTAGAAAATATTGAGACGAAAAATCAGTGTACTACATACTGCTGCTTTTGAACAGCAAATCATGTTCTGGTCTATTGTATTGTCTGTGTGCTCTTTTGTTTCCACTGTGACTGTATCTACCTGTTGTTTCTTCCTGTTGACTCAGTAGGCCCGTGGGAAGTAAGGAAATGAGCACACTTACTGGCTTGGTGGCCTTGCAGAGTGTTTTGAGCTCAGACAGGCGCTCCTTGACGTAGCCAAAGTCAGCCTGCTTCCAGAACAGTTCCTGGGCTGCCTGAATTGAATCAGCCCTGATAAATCAAAAATGTAGATCAGCAAACAAAAACCATTATGGCTCATTGCTGATACATGCTATGTATGAGCACACTTTTACTTGGAAAGACAGTAGTTCAGTATACATATGAATAACAGTACTATAATTTGTGATCCTTATTATTACTGAGCACCTGACAAATGCATGACTGCAATGAGAATGTGTTAAGTAAATTATATAAACTGCACTGAGTTTTGAAAAAGACAAAATGAGAGCATGGAGTGTGATAGAATGTGAAAGACCAATACCATCCAGAGTCAGCTTTGGTACACACTGGATAGCTAAAGCGCTTCCCTGGATCACAATTCTTCTCGTAACCCCAACAGGCAGACAAATCCTGCAGTGCATCCTGTTGTAAAAGCAAGTGTGGACATTATGTGTATGTGTGTCAGAAAGAGATGGCAAGTTAGCAGGAGAAGAAGCTTCATATAGTGGTGTTACACAGGTTTACCATCAGATTTTACTGTTTCAGCAGACAACTTATTCCTAAAATTCATTCAAAATAATGAAGCAAAAAGAAGTAAAACACCAGGGGTTCTCTGTGTGAATAAGTCGGTATCATCTTAATGTGCTAAGACAGCCAAGTCTGATGAAACCAGTTAAAAATATTGCTAATCCATTTATGGATCTAAGTAAGATCAACATAGGTCAAAATAAAATAACTTTCAACAACAGTAAGTAGTAGAAGTAATGGTAAGTAAAAATGTGCTTTTCCCGAATACTCTATTTACTACATCTGTACTTGCAATGGTAAAGTCAACTCCAGAGTAAACTCCACACCATTGCTTCAACTGATCCAAATGCTCTAAATAATCTGCGCTGTTTAACCCATTTACTGTACATGTCGGCCAACAGTTATGAACAAAAAATTACCTTGATTTTTACAAAATAACAAACAGATTAATAGTGTGGACATGGGCTGGGCAATCTTTTGTGTATTGTTGCTAGCTACAGGAGAGCAGTATACATTTATGCTCACATCAATGTACAGAAATGACATCACTCAAAACTGCAACGGAGTGTGGCTTCCATTAAATAATATGCTACCTGAATGATCATGTTTTCATCCTACCCCACACTAACAGACAAAATAAATAAGTTTAATAAGTTCAATAAGTTTAATTATAATTTTCTAAACCCGAACTCTGATGGTCGGTGGGAGTTGTTAGAGCTTTGCCTCATAGTACAGGAAAACAGAAAGAACAGTGAAGAAAACATATCTTACTTTAAAGGGGCACAGTGGGTCCAGGCGGCACTGCTTGGCGACCCTCTTGTTGTTGTAGAGGAAATAGGGTACGTGCTCCGGTGGCAGGGAGATCCTGCTGTAGTTGAGGAGCGGTATCGGTGGTTTGTGGTTGGTGTTTGCAGCCTTCTCCTCGGTGACCGCAGTGGAAGAAAAAACTATGCCCAGCGCTACCAAGAGCAGCATAGTCAGGATTGCACAGACATGAGATGGCTGCCTGTGTTCACAGCACTCTGTGAGAAGGGGAGAGGCAGAGACTCAGACTTGCACTCTCTGTAATCTTGGTTGAAAGCCTAAAACCTCAGTATACAAACATGTGGGCACAAGCAAGTGTGTGGGAACCTTGCTCCAGGCGGATCTGAGCTCCACATAAGGAAAGGTCCTGTTGCAGGAAGCATTAGTGACCTTTTCCTACTGTTGTCTCAGAAGTCAGAGCGGAGTCTGAAGAGGCACATGAGAACTGCTGGCTAGTAATATTGTGAGTCTGAGGTTCCAGGTAGCCACAGCACTATTGAAACAAGTCTGTTTCCCTGAACCAAGCTATAAAGTCTCAAGTATACATGTGTTTACAGAGTCAGACATTCTGCACTTCAAAAATTAATGATCAGTGAACATTACAATGTGAACTGAGACTGATGTAGCTGGATCTGACTTATTAGAAACTGACTGTCGGTTCTGCAGATTTGGTAACAATACAGGTTAAGAGTGATTAATGACATATTTATTCAGTAACGTAAAGCTCCTGGGGGAATTAGTCCTGCGTTAATGCTAGCTCAATAACGTATCGCTAGGTTGTCTAACTGTTCGTGCAAAAAGACGGTTATTTCTGAACAAGCCCTAATATAGTCTCGCTTCATATCCTTGTCTTTTTGTCCCACGCGTGTCTCTGAAGAGAAGTCATCTGAATTTACTGTTAAAGCTAAGCAAATTAAGCCGAACATATAAAGCTACAGTAGCTAACGCTAACTACCAACCTCTTCACTAGCATAGCGTCAGTTAACGTTAATGATGTTGAAACCCACCAGGAACACTGATTTTGAGGCACGAGAAAGTTAAGACGACATGAAACTTAACGTTCGAAGTATTAACGCATTACATGTATTAACGCATTACTTACTGCTTTATTTCTCAAAAGGTGTAATATGGGGGAAAAAAACTTAGTTGTCGGTTAGCTAATGTCTGAATTATTTAGATTTATGCGGTGTCTACTGTTAAGGTGTAGCGCCAATAATGTTACCTGAAAAAACCAAGATCCCTTACACATTAATTCAAACTGTGGCTAAACCAAGAACCCTTACACATTAATTCAAACTGTGGCTTACCGACAGGGCTGCAAAAGAACTGGACAAGGAAAGTATTTCATATTTCCGCGCTACAAGAACTTGCCTTACACGTACACATAACTCACTAAGACCGGCCGAATGAGTGGGTGCTGGTAGTCGCCATAGCCACCGGAAATCATATACCGGCCTGTAATATTCCGCGAAGACCATAAGGTGGCGCCATGTGCCACACTTTTTCTTCGCTTGCTGTTTAATACTGTGGGTGCTTCTCTTAATGGTCATAAATCAAGAAGATACAGATTAATTGTGTGAATGTTGAGTCAGCATCCACACTGTTGTTATCCAATTCTTTATTATTCTGACTCCTTCCGTCTGTTTTTTGGCACTTAACTCCAGCATACTTTCAGCTAGAAAAAACATTCAAATATCAATGTTCATCTTTTTAAGGACATCCCTGTTTGTATTTATCTTTTTTATAACCTATATACTTAAAATATTAAAATATTCACATTCAAATGAATAGAAAAATCTTCAAATCGTCCTCCTCTTTCAGCCTTTATAGCTTCACTTGTATTTATCTTTTTTTATAACCTATATACTTTTTAAAATATTCACATTCAAATAAATGGAAAAAACTTCAAATCATCCTCCTCTTTCAGCCTTTATAGCTTC